TTTTTCCATCCTCTTGATGCATGAAAGCATTAAACTGGGCCATAAAAAGCAACAATTTGTGGTGAGCTTCCTGGCTGAAGCAGCTTAAAGCCAGCAGAGGCTTAAAGTACACACACTTATCTGTGGGTAGATTGTGACCCAGATCTTAAAAAGCTTCCTCTTGGAACTGACAAATCTCCAACACATTAACCACAATTTTAAACTGTTTCAAGTTTAAATTGATTAGAATTGGCTTTCAAAGGAGAGCAGGATTTTTTATGTGAAATGAAAGTTTCCTACATGACATGAAAGCATATGTTTCTGTTCATAGTACAATGGAAGTCATTTTGAATAGTAAATTTCACAACAGGGTAAAAACTGACCAAACCTGCCTCATTTCTGTTAGAAATTCTGTATGCTATAGAAGCATTGAGAAGAAAACCACAATTCACAAAGCTATTATGTAATTGATATAGCAGTGACCACATTCGACCTCAAACCGCAAGTGACCTTGACTCGAGTTTATTTCCTTTTACCCACAACGCCAAAAAAGCCAGTAATGATTGAACTGTAAAAGAAGAAATTGAGTCGTAAAAATTAAACCTCAGAAATGTGCCATGACCCTGGAACCACAGATGACTCACAATAAAGCTGCTTTACTGCTGTTACTGTGTTAATGATCAGTCAAACCACAAGAGATAGCAGATTTGGTATTATCGCACCTCGGACAAAAATGTCAAAAACCATTGGTTTAGAGCTGTCACGTGGTGACCCTCTTATTTTCTATATAGGGTCAGTAGGATTCCATTATAGGGCAATATGGCCGCCCATTGCTCACCGCATCAAAACTAAAACAACAGATATGGGTAACTGAATATTCTAAAAATAATACAATGCTCACCGTAATTCCTATTCGCTACAATTGCATTGTTACTATTATACAAAATCTCACAATTAACAAATGAGAAAATGTTAACGATCTGTGTGATATCTTGTTCCAAGGACAAAAAAACTGTTACATGTTATGTTTTTGTTATATAATTTATTTTATTTTCATTTATAAAAGTTAAATCATATTGTTTTGTTATGCATTACATCATTTTCATTTTAAGCAAAAAGGGTCCTTGATGCGATAAATTCGTTATATAGTCAGTTACTGACCCTCTATGGTTCTGTAGAGGGTCAGTAACTGACTATATAACTAATATTAGTGGCCATACCCACTCTGGCCTACGTACTATATATATAGTGGCCATACCCACTCTGGCCTTCTAGTACGACTGTAACAGAATGGCAAACAGATTTGGTATTAGTGGCCATCCCCACTCTGGCCTACTAGTACGACTGTAACAGAATGGCAAACAGATTTGGTATTAGTGGCCATACCCACTCTGGCCTTCTATATATATATAGTGGCCATACCCACTCTGGCCTTCTAGTACGACTGTAACAGCATGACAAACAGATTTGGTATTAGTGGCCATACCCACTTTGGCCTACTAGTACGACTGTAACAGAATGACAAACAGTTTTGGTATTAGTGGCCATACCCACTCTGGCCTTCTAGTACGACTGTAACAGAATGACAAACAGATGTGGTATTAGTGGCCATACCCGCTCTGGCCTACTAGTACGACTGTAACAGAATGACAAACAGATTTGGTATTAGTGGCCATACCCACTTTGGCCTACTAGTACGACTGTAACAGAATGACAAACAGTTTTGGTATTAGTGGCCATACCCACTCTGGCCTTCTATATATATAGTGGCCATACCCACTCTGGCCTACTAGTACGACTGTAACAGAATGACAACCAGATTTAGTATTAGTGGCCCTACCCACTCTGGCCTACTATAGTACGACTGTAACAGAATGGCAAACAGATTTGGTATTAGTGGCCATACCCACTCTGGCCTTCTATATATATAGTGGTCATACCCACTCTGGCCTTCTATATATATAGTGGCCATACCCACTCTGGCCTACTAGTACGACTGTAACAGAATGAAAAAGGTTCAAGGTCAATAGCAAATCGTGGAAATCAAGCAAGTGAAAAATGATTAGTTTACTGAAAATATGTAAAATTAAGGTACAGAATATGTCACACACAATTCTGTCACTAAAAGGATTCAGATGGAACTAAAGTTAAAATCTTCCAATAAATGTATCCCATTGTGTTCAATTTCTGTGCTCTGAATTTATTCCAGCAGTGACTTCTTCCGCAGAAAATGTTCCGTAGTTTGTCTTTAGTTCCTGAAGATTCACTCTCCCCAAGAGCACTGATTTCAAATGGTGCTAGACCCTAAAATGTACTATATCTACCCACCACTTGAGACCAGACCCTTAGGGAGTCATAGATAGTCCAACTATTTGTACAAGAATTCATCACTTCACTGGTAAAAATATACACAAATTCCGTAACACATTTGACTCTCATAATAAAAGAAATTTCATTGCAATCATTAATCTTTCCATTGTAACAGTTCCCATGGCAACTATTTGCTTTCCAATTTTGAGAGAGTTCCTATTGGCAACCATATTTTTTATGGTAATACAGTTTTCATGGTAACCATTAATTTTTCCACTCTAACACAATTTCCATGGCAACCAGCTACCTTTCTATAGTTACACAATTTCCATAGCAACCATAAAAATTTCTGTGAGAAACACAAACCAATGGCAACCAATACTGCCTTTTAAAAGAAACTCATTGCATGGCACAATTGTAATCCTCGTTTGGAATGCGATTCCATGGTAAGGGCTTGCAATTAACAGAACAAATGGAAACATCTAGACATACTGTCTTAACTCTATAAATTAGCAATGAAAGTTAACACAAAAATAAAGCTATTATGCAATTTACAAAAAAATAAATGTATTTCCATTTGTTTCGTGACCTGGATAAACATATATTACTACAAGAATAATAGCAGTTTGTTGTATTTTAAATCCCCAACATCTAACACCTTGAGTTTTAGATAATTTACCTGGTACATTCAATGGTCTTATCCCATATATTCCAACATAGAATATCTAACGAATTTCCACTTGTGTCTGAAATAAATGAATGTGTAGCACATGTATCTTCGATTTTACTGCTGGAGTTCATGCAAACCCTGATAAGACAAAACCTAGGACTGAACGACAGCGAAGAATAAGTTCCAATATGTTCATGAAATATGCATACATCGGATAACTTTCTTGCATGTTGACAGTGCTGATCAAATGGTGGTGTTTTTTTGTTTTTTTTTCTCCAATCCAGTTGTTACTTTTACAAGTAGCTAGGCCTGTTCCTGGTGAATAGGGTTGTATAACCCAACTAGGCAATACCGCATTAAACATTCATGGCTTGTGCAAATATTTTTCTATCGATAGAGCTTCCGAGAGGTTTGCGATCAGGTGGTGGCCTTACGGTGAATATGCGACAAAAAAATACACAGCACTAGCCCGAAAGTAGGCTCCCGTACTGGAGAGACATCAAACCTAACCTTAAATATTACTGTCATTAAGCAATGTCCAAATCTTTTAATGAGGGGTCATATGGAGGGTTTCAGGACCAGAAGTTCAAAAGGATCCCAACATGTGAAAACCTTAGTAATCCTTACCTTTGCAAGTATATCTTAGATAAAAACTATACTTAATAAATACCCTGTAATTAAATTTTATATATGTGTGCTCCAAATGAATGATTTTGTGGATTTACCTTTTCAGTTTTAAGTGATTATAAAATGACCGAAGGAATATCAATATTTTAGAAATATAAATAGCCATTCCTGACAAAATTTGATGTTAAAAATGATTATTAAAGAAAAACGACCTAGTTTTGAAGCTTCTAAAGGGTCAAGAAATCATTAAATACAATTTTTACGCAGGAAAAAGCCAATACTGAATTCTATAAATTCACTTAAAAATTGCCCCAGGCAAACTGAACCTAATGAGAGGAAAGCTGTAGCAGGAATTTGAGCAGCAGGATACGGAATAGAAATGTACCTTTAACAGGAAACCGGTAACTACAGCCAATTAATGAGTGTACACTGTACAGGCACAAAGCAGTCTGCAGGAAATCACTGTTGGTGGGAGGGGATAACAATCTTAGAAAATTAATTACAAACTCTGTTCTTTTAAAAATAAATTAATGGTAATTTTTCTTCAATGAGTGAATTTTATATTCTACACAATAATTTGCACAGGATGGAACGAACTGTTTTTACCTGTAGATAAATATTTAAGCATGATGGGGAAGGTGTGTGTGTGTGTGGGTGGGGTGGGAGGGGGAGGGGGGTTAGTTTTTCATTTTCTAACTTTTAGAAAGTAAACCTTTGAAATGGCATTACAATTTTCATAAATAAACTTATTTTAAGAGGTGTTTGTACCTGTAGCTGGAGGATAAAGGGAAGGGGTTTGTATCTGTAGCTTGAGGATAAGGGGACGGATTTGTACCTGTAGCTGTAGGATAACGAGGAGGGGTTTGTATCTGTAGCTGGAGGATAAGGGGAGGGGTTTGTACCTGTAACTGGAGGATAAGGGGAGGTGTTTGTACCTGTAGCTGGAGGATAAGGGGAGGGGCCTGTAGCTGGAGGATAAGGGGAGAGGTCTGTACCTAGAGGATAAGGGGAGGGGTCTGTACCTGGAGGATAAGGGGAGAGGTCTGTACCTGGAGGATAAGGGGAGGGGTCTGTACCTGGAGGATAAGGGGAGGGGTCTGTACCTGGAGGATAAGGGGAGGGGTCTGTACCTGGAGGATAAGGGGAGGGGTCCGTACCTGTAGGATAAGGGGAGGGGTCTATACCTGTAGGATAAGGGGAGGGGTCTGTACCTGTAGGATAAGGGGAGGGGTCTGTACCTGTAGGATATGGGGAGGGGTCCGTACCTGTAGCTGGATGATAAGGGGAGGGGTCCGTACCTGGAGGATAAGGGGAGGGGTCCGTATACCTGGAGGATAAGGGGAGGGGTCTGTACCTGGAGGATAAGGGGAGGGGTCTGTACCTGTAGCTGGAGGATAAGGGGAGGGGTCCGTACCTGTAGCTGGAGGCGTTCAGCTTGGTCTCGCCTCTGCTTGGCATAGATGTCCTGTTTCTGTATAAGCTCCTTTTGGAGGGCGATCTTCTCCTGCAGCTGTTCGTACTGGTCATGGCGTACTTCACTCTTGGCCAAATCCCACTTTTCTGACAAATGTTCATGGCGCTGTAACAAAAATTATGAAGCATAAAAAATCAATACAAGTTGTCTATTATAGCTCTGGTTTAAAATTCAATTTATTTCAGTTTTTCTATCTGACGAGCAAAAACTTAAATCTAATATGTCACTGAACCCTCTTTTTCAAACTTCTGGCAATTTGAACTTTCTTGTAAACGAATCAGATATACCAAGAGGAAATTCACTGAATGTGGAATGATAAATTGTTGAATATGTTCATTAAAACAGAATAGAATTAAAGCCAATTTTGTTACAACATATACATGGCCAAGTATGGACTTCGATCAAAGAAAGAGGTCTTGGCAGCAATTAAATTTTGCAACTATTGCTCGCACATTTGATCTAGGAAAATTATGTAACAGGAAAGAGAATAGTGTGCTTCCACCGGGGAAGGAACCAGTGATCCTAGACTTTCTAGTGAGTCGCTTTACCACTGACCTAAAGGGAAAGAAGGCGACTGTAATCCTATGTACAATTAAAATCTGTCACAATCATTATTTACAGAGCGTGAACAAAATCATCAAAACCAGTGATCCTTCCAGAAATTGTGTTTAAGGTACTAGTGCCTTACACAGAAGTCAAGCTATTCCCGTGTCAGTGGCGTTGATAAGTAACCAAACAGTGTTAGGAATATGGCAATATTCAAAACATAATTTTGTACTGGTCGGATGATTAGACACAAATTTTCATTTGCTTGAAGACCAAATCTTTGATATCTAGGATTTTTCTTTCAGACAATAATTATTTAAGAAATTTAAATATGAAGAATTCAGAGAGCTAGATTTATTACATCAATTGTATCTCAAACCAATTATTTCTACAAATTATGATGACTATTCTTCTTTAACCAATCGATGAACAACTGAATCTGTAAACAATACAATTCATCAGTATTTTAACAGTGTCAGAGAACCATCGTATTAGTGAACGACAAAGGCTTGCACAATTCAAATTCAGGAAGTCAGAACTCCTACATATATAAATAGGCTACACATCAAGGACTAATGATTATCTCAAAACAGAGGGAAGCCATTTTGTTAAATAGAACCAGTACATTATAGTCCAACTTCAGGCCTTGGATCTGGAACACTCTACAGACTAGCTTCCACCAGTCAAATGTAAAGACTCAAAAAATTATGAAATTCTGATGGTAGCACTAATAGCTAAGCTATGTCAGTGTAGACTTAGCTTACTTTATCGATGCCAGCTTGAAAATCGGCACAGTGTTATTATCGGCCAAACATAATCAATTACTCAAGTGGTAATAAACTTACAGATGGTTTCTTACAGATCACCAATGGCCAAAAACAGTTACATATATTCTGATCAATACTACTCTCATTTTCTATGGTAAACCTATCCGAGTGCTCTCCGCATTGGACAACCAGCGAATCGCAGGTCTGCCGATCACAAGGAAGGCGGATTCCATTTTGACATGCAGATTGACTCGTCGCAATATGCAACACTCAATACACATAAGCAGCTTACACCGTACACAAAACCAACATGGCTACCATCTTCTTCGTCTGTACGACAGTGATTGAGACTTTGGTCTACACTGTTAAAAGAATCTTAGTATTCTGGTCTGATGCGACGTAGAATGTACACAGACTTAACATCTATATCTAGATGTTCCCTTGTAATAATAAACACCACCATTGGGAAATCACCGAGGTACAGCGGAACCATCAGTTTATATAGACACTCAAAGAGAATTGTGTTAATTTAAAACAGAACTTGTATACTCTACATGCCACTTTGCCATTGCCAGTGATGTAATTTGGATATGAAGACGGGGGTTAGAACATTCGGCACGATACCCATCAGAAATATTGGTGCAGGAGACGAAAACGTGGTAACATGACATTCCACAAAGACTCCGTTCTCCAGTTGTCTTGGCCAAACCATGATGCAATTAAATATAACAAAACACAATATTTTACAAAGTGGGGAATGCAATAGTTTTGAAGTCCAGAGAAGGATCAACCATATCTTTTTTGTATTCAAATTCATAAAATGACACGATTTAGAATCAAATTGGTTGGACCATATCATGCAACCTTGTGTTGGAACGCTTAACATCAAAGGAGAATCTCATTGATTTCACAGCATTCTAAAAGCAGACTTGTTGGCACCGGGTTCACATGAAACTCCCTGTATATGCTGCTACAACTTTCCTTTGATCTCAAAAACCAATTCCACCACTCAAAACTAAAGCAAGCATAAAATTGAATCTGATGCAACAGTGTTGAACGGGTCCATATACCAATCATAGTTTTGTCCTTATCAACACTAGAATTACTTCTTCATGCTGAAACTTGTTCGTAATCCCAGAATTCCTAGCACTTATTCCCAATCTATAATAGCGATGGCAACTGTCAATTGCTGATGTGAGGAGTGTGCTAGACCCTTTGGAAGGAAGTGTTTCACATTAAGCCTTGATTGGGTCTGCTTCATCTTGGACTTTCAGCTATAGTGTCTTCTAGCTGTCTGGTAGTTGATATAAAGATATACAAGGAAGAAATAGGATTTGGTATTTGTGAACTTATTTTAAGTTGCCATTGCATTAAAGATCATTTCCATTTAAAACTTTGGATCCAGGCATAAATGTTTATCCTCATTACAAAGCTATGGATGAATCTAGGTATGATATTCTGAACTGTTATTAATATGAAGTGTTTTAATTTAAAATATGGCAAGAAGAAACATTTACCTGCGTAACTTGTACTGTGGTTTTATAAAAACTAAATTATAAAGAAGAATACTTCAAATGCATCCGTCACTAGCTTCTGAGTGAACAAGCTTCCGAGTGAACAAGCTTCCGAGAACAAGCTTCCGAGTGAACAAGAGTAAGTTTCTCACAACAAGCTTTCAAATGATCATGATACTTGGGAACACATCAGGATCAAGTTTCAGCCTTTGAAAAATATAGAGAATCTAGTTCATAAAAACACAGTCTATATTTTATAATAAATCTTCTATCATGACCTTCACCTACAATCATCTAGAGGATGATATCCAACCTTTAATCTTCTGCAAGACAATCTTCAGTTCTGATTTTAAACAGGAAGACCTTCACTTCTAATCATCCACAAGATGACCTTCACCTCTACTTTTTAACAGGATAACCTTCACCCCCACACTGTCCAGTAGAATTGTTAAATGTACCTTCCGACAGGAGCCATTCCCCTAGCAGACCACCATCAGGATCAGCATCAGCCAAAATAAACCAGTCCAGCACAGAAACTACTAATGATATAGCTAAAACTAAACCCCCAAGCAGACCAGAACAGACCGCAGTCCAGTACAGAACAGACCATCAGCCAAAATAAACCAGTCTAGCACAGAAACTACTAATGATATAGCTAAAACTAAACCCCCAAGCAGACCAGAACAGACCGCAGTCCAGTCCAGAACAGACTGCAGTCCAGTAGAGAACAGACCTTCAGCCAGTGCAGAACAGACTGCAGTCCAGTCCAGAACAGACCATCAGCCAGTCCAGAACAGACTGCAGTCCAGTAGAGAACAGACCTTCAGCCAGTGCAGAACAGACTGCAGTCCAGTCCAGAACAGACCATCAGCCAGTCCAGAACAGACTGCAGTCCAGTACAGAACAGACCATCAGCCAGTCCAGAACAGACCGCAGGCCAGTGCAGAACAGACCGCAGTCCAGTCCAGAACAGACTGCAGTCCAGTAGAGAACAGACCTTCAGCCAGTGCAGAACAGACTGCAGTCCAGTCCAGAACAGACCATCAGCCAGTCCAGAACAGACTGCAGTCCAGTAGAGAACAGACCATCAGCCAGTGCAGAACAGACAGCAGTCCAGTACAGAACAGACCATCAGCCAGTCCAGTACAGACCGCAGTCCAGTCCAGAACAGACTGCAGTCCAGTACAGAACAGACCATCAGCCAAAATAAACCAGTCCAGCACAGAAACTACTAATGATATGGAGCTAAAACTAAACCCCCAAGCAGACCAGAACAGACCGCAGTCAAGTACAGAACAGACCATCAGCCAAAATAAACCAGTCCAGCACAGAAACTACTAATGATATGGAGCTAAAACTAAACCCCCAAGCAGACCAGAACAGACCGCAGTCCAGTCCAGAACAGACTGCAGTCCAGTAGAGAACAGACCATCAGCCAGTGCAGAACAGACCGCAGTCCAGTCCAGAACAGACCATCAGCCATTCCACTACAGACCGCAGTACAGTACAGAACAGACCGCAGTCCAGTCCAGAACAGACCATCAGCCATTCCACTACAGACCGCAGTACAGTACAGAACAGACCGCAGTCCAGTCCAGAACAGACTGCAGTCCAGTACAGAACAGACCATCAGCCAGGACAGAACAGACCGCAGTCCAGTACAGAAGAGACCATCAGCCAGTACAGAACAGACCGCAGTCCAGTCCAGAACAGACCACCAGCCAGTCCAGAACAGACTGCAGTCCAGTAGAGAACAGACCATCAGCCAGTGCAGAACAGACCGCAGTCAAGTCCAGAACAGACCGCAGTCCAGTCCAGAACAGACCACCAGCCAGTCCAGAACAGACTGCAGTCCAGTAGAGAACAGACCTTCAGCCAGTGCAGAACAGACTGCAGTCCAGTCCAGAACAGACCATCAGCCATTCCACTACAGACCGCAGTACAGTACAGAACAGACCATCAGCCAGTACAGAACAGACCACAGTCCAGTCCAGAACAGACCGCAGTCCAGTACAGAAACTAGCTAAAATCTCCTTAAATATTTATGCACAATCAATTAAGTACGTATACACATAAACCTTCATTACCAGCCTGAATCATTGGCCAGTATAAGCTCATGGGACAGTAGCAAGAGTTGGCAGTATCTTTACAGCATGTCCCCTGTGAAAATGGATTCCTTTTGGTTATAGGATCTCACTGGCCAGCAAGCTATCTTAAAGTTTGGCACCCTGAGTCAAACAATTCCCTTTATAAGTATAGGATCTTATTGGCCAGCAAG